GGTTGAAACTCGACCGGAAACCTTGCACTCAAGGCAACTCTGAGTCGACTGTTGAAGGGTCCAAGGCCTCTGTCTTGGCTTAAGTTTGTCCAGAACGAGCGACAGGGGCCCTACAGATGTTCTAAAGGGACCTGGATCAGAGTGGAGAGGGAGCAAATGCGTGAGCCTGGTTGTTGTCAAGTCGCTTGCCCCCTTCCTCGCCCAGTTTCCAGGCTTCTACATAACAGTAGGTACTGTGTGACCTGTCATCCAGATCAGCTGGCGCGTACATCGTAGGCAGCTGCATAGAGACGTTTTCGCGCTACCGAAACTTTTTAGTCAATACGCTGGAAGGTTCTTACGTAGAACGCTGAGCCATGATGGGGACGGGTGCTCCAGAGCCGTCACGCCCCGAAAAACACCCCCGAACCCGAACCCGAGGGCTGTCACATTATCCGCGTTCCCTGCCAGTGTCTTCGCCAGCAGTGTCATGCTCTCTCCACTTGTAGGCTTCGCCGCGAGAATTGAACCGGCTGGGATGTCAACAGGCGTTGTCGCATGTTCGCCTGGACCATTTGGTCCAGGTCCATCAGGTGAGGCAGGGGCTATCACAGTCGCTCCCGCCCTGGTCGTCGAAGATCACGCCGATCCCCAATCATGCCCTTCAGGATCACCCAAACAGTCGATAGCGTAGCGGCAGCATCGTGATTATTACCAATGAGCATGTTCTGCCCATGTACCAGGATACCGTACGTAGAAATGGTCTGCTATGTGCGCATGAGACGAAGTACCTCTCCTCTGATAACAGGTACGGCCATTCGTTCAGCGCTCGTTGCGGATCCCGATGATCGCAAATCCAGGGAAGGATTCGCCGTGGCGTGCCTGCTTTAGCCGTTGCTTGTGCACCCCTGCCACTAAAGGCTGGCCCCTGGCCCTTCTTTCGACCCCTACACTTGCACCCTGGTATCGCACCGTGCCTGCCCCCCAACAACTGCTGGTCCCACGTCACATCCCTAAACTCCCCCATCAACCCCGCCAAAGCACGCCGCAGCGACATCCAAGACAAGACAGCCCGAGACCTCAATAGACTCCTGGCGACCAGCAAGGCACCCATTCTTCTAGAGTTTGCTTCGAAAAGCCGTAATCCCCCCCGAGACAGCGGACTACCTTCCAACGAAAACAACTCGATCCGTCCTGCTTCACAAATCGAGACAATCCCGTTGGAACGACCACAACACCTCCCGCCATGAAGGCCAAGAGGCTCTTCAGTGTCAAGGACCGGGAGAAGGACAAACATGGCTCTCACCGCAGGAACAAGTCGTCAGAGCCGGGCCATAAGGTGAGAGTTCTCCAATCGCTCGGGTAGCGCTTCGAACCCCCTGGTTAATAGGACCTCTTAAGAACCACTCTCTGTCTGCCGACAACTTCTTCTCGCTCTTCAAGTCTGACGCCTCCCGCCAAATAAACAGCAGCCACGAAGATAAAGCTAAGGTATGAATGACGTCTTGCCACACTCCATGTCCCAGCAGACTTTAACAGCACATCAGATTGAGGACGTATTGCAGCTCCTTGCCGAAGACAACCCCGAATATACCAAGCACAGCATTTCTCCCGACCACATTCGCCAAGTCCTCCACAGCTATTATGCGGTTGGTGATGTCAGGAAAGCCGCCGAATTCATACAGATGCAGAGCGATGCGAGTGCTGGCAAGATCTACCCATACAACCCTAATGTGCAGATGAGCGGCGCCGAGAACAGGGAGGCTGTGACCTGTTACCTGGACTCTTTACTCTTCTCCATGTTCGCACGGATGGACGCTTACGAAGGCATGCTCAAGCATGAATTCACCGACGAACCGCGGCGGAAGTTGGTCACGCTTTTGCGACTCTGGGTCAATATGCTGCGGTCGGGCAAGTTGATTTATACAGACATGGTATGGTTTTGTTCAACCCTTCGCGAATAATACTACAGTTCAGCTGACTTTGGCAGACGAAACTTATACAAGACAGCCTCGCTGAGTGCGGATGGCAAGACGCCAAAGAGCTGGAGCAGCAGGATACATCCGAGGCTTTTGCTTTCATCACGGAAACCTTGCAGCTACCCTTGCTACAACTACAAGTCGACCTATTCCACCAGGGCAAAAACGACGATGATGACCACAAGATAGTCAACGAACGTCTTCTCAATCTCGCTGTACCCCCAGATCCAGAGGGCAAGGGACTTCGTCTCGAGGATTGTTTAGAGGAATACTTCAACACGCAAGTCGATGTCCTCCGAGACAGCAACCAGGAGGAGAAGAGAGACGCAAGACGGCCGACAACGTCTCGACTGAATACGATTAGAGTCGTGACGCAGAATGAGGAAAGCTGAGTCGCCTACAAAAGGAGTTGTCGCCCTCCCCGGTTGAACTGACTCCAGTACTGGATCGGAGGCCGACGGAGACTGTCCATGGCTTGATCAGCGGAGAGACGGCCGGATCTTCGAGACCTACCGCTAGACACCGTTCCACTAGCGTGATTCAGCATGTTCTCGTGGACGGAAAAGGTCGACCAGCGGAAACGGACAACTCCTCCCTGCTCGAGAGGGCACGACGCAAGAGCTCGACCGTTGTCAAGGCTGTGACTATTCCAGCGTGGCAGTTCTTCCGACTGATTCCTTGGCACTCTGCAGGAAATAGCGAGCCTCAGAATGACCAGGACGTGGCGGTCAAATTCTCTCAAAGGCCAGTAGTCGGCATCTGCTTGAAGCGCTACGGCCTTTCCGATAGAATGGTCCCGCAACGCCTCAATACATTTATCGATATCCCAGACAGTCTGCGTCTGCCACACTTTATGCTAGCGGACGAAAAGCACCTAGAAGAGGACCCGAATGGGTTTAGTACGGAGTACAAGCTCGTGCTGCAGTCGGTGGTCTGCCACAGGGGTGAGTCTGTGAATAGCGGCCACTACATTGCATTCTCCCGAGTTGCGCCAAAGCTCCTCACGGATAACCGAAGACACGATCTCGATCCACCTCCGGATTATGAGGAGGCGCAATGGGCTAAATTTGACGACCTCCATATCGAAAGCCGAGTCACGTATGTTGATGATATCAAACAATCGATCAAAGAAGAGATGCCGTATCTTCTCTTCTACCAGATTGTACCCATGATGGAAGTAGTATCTGCGGACGAAACTGAAACGGAACCACCTTCCTATGCAGACTCGAAAGCAAGCATCGCCACATCGACAGATCCTAGTCTGGCTGACAGCGGGCATCTGGGAACTGCTGGGTCTTCCAGCGGTGATTACTTCGAGAAAGCGACAAAGACGCAGGCCCCGAGCATTCGATTCTCGTCAGATATAGAGCGGCCCAGCCGTGACAGCATCGACGACTTGGACCCACACTCCAAGGACTCGCGGCGCACGAGCATCAATCCGCTTGAGTCCGTAATTGGTACGCCAGGGAGAACGCCCGATACCGCATCTCCGGCAATCACGCCGAATGAAGAGACGACGCGTGAGCGCTTCTCACGCGCGGCTGCCTTGTTCTCGAACAAGTCTAGGAGTCGCCCCCCTAGTCAGGCGGGCGAAGGCCGCATCAGCCTTACGATGGGCCGTCTCGGCGGCTTCATGCGGCCAAGCAAGGAGATATTGCGAAGACGGCAATCCATCGGTCATATGTCAGCGCGCCGCCCGTACCGAACGA